CTCAGCTTTTTTTGAAAAGTTTCATTTGAGGGAGTGTAGAGGGGTAATTTTGGTGAAAAATATTTTTAAATAAAACACATGTTATTAGACTCAGATTTTGGTGCTGATTTCGAATATCACATGTATTTTGCTTGCAAATGAATTGCTGATGCCTAAAATCGCCAAATACGACTAGGATTTGTATACAATATGGCATCATTTGGGTATGATTAGGTTTAGAGTGGAACTTCGGACAACAAATTTTAAAATCACGATGGTATCAAAAGAAAGCTGAGTATATAAGTAAGTTTTTGAGAAAGCTTCGCCGATGTATAATTTTTTATTGTTGAGATAATGTCATCTCAAGTTTTCATATATATGGAGACTATATACCATTGGTGACCATATATCAGTTTTTATTCGATCTCTATTAAGTTTGAAAAAATGGTGATTATGCAGAATTAGAAGGTCTATAATACTGTTTCTAAATATGAAATCAGAATTTTAAAAACTTTCTCCATGGCAGAAAAATGTGAGATTGAGGGATCCCAATTGGACCTTGTCATGGGGCTACAAAGATGTTTGCTGATTTTTAGAAGTAAAAGTTCGTTTGAGAAAAACAATATTTCTAAATGTGTTATTGGGTCCAAGCTATAAAACTATGATATAAAAATGGCACCTTAGGGGGGTGGCAGTTTGACCCCTTAACGTGCGTGGTCCTTTGCGAGTTCTACTCTTCTACTGGTCTCTTGCTTGTCGTTTCTAAAGCTATTGAAGAAAATTGGTCGCATGAGTAGGCTAGACTCGAGTCCTATTTTTCGTACACACGTGCAGAACTCTAGTATAAGCTTAAGGTGTTTGCAATAGAGGAGGAAAGGGAGCAATAAATATTTCACGAACTTGTTTAGGTAACATATTCTTTGGCAGAATTACATGATAAAATGCATACATAATTGATTTGTCGTCGTTGTTATGCTCAAGGCCAAGACTATGTCCAATTTCATGCGAAGCGACTAAGCGCAAATTGTTACCTATGTCATCATACCTATGTATTTCAACAATAGCTCAATCAAGTACCGTTAGATGTCTACTTACTTGTCTGACCAAATTTCAGTTGAATCAAAATGAACATACCCACGATAGTAGTGTTCGGGAGGGAAGGCATGTGCTAGAACTCCATCACGCCCATCAAATGGATATTCATCTGAGTGGTTGCCATATGCAAAAACCAAGTTAAAATCAGCCTTTTCTTGTGCAGTCGCTTGACGAAAAGTTAATTTAGTGTAGCTGGCCCAATCATCAAAAGCTTGTTGAATTTGTTGATTAGTTTTCGTTAAATCATAAAAGAAATGATCGTGATCTAATTTCCATGTGAGTGTGCGATTCGTCGACCTCGAAACACAAAATGTATAAATATAATTATTTGACATATTTTGTTCTTCAAAAGACCATTATTTTTAAAATTAGCCAACCATATAATATTTTGCCACAAAATAAGTTTGACAACAGCTCAATAGGAAGGAATGGTAGTAATTGCTCTACGACTATATAGAACGAAACTGTGATTAGGTAAAAGTTTGGAACACATAGGACTTTCGCATCGTATCAATGCACATTCGTTCATGTCTACCATGGAAAGAATGTTGACTTGTATTGATATATGATCGAACGTTATTCTCAACATACTGCTGTAACAGTTTAATTTTTGATGTCGGCTTAAGTTCGCTTTAGGGAAATGAGAGAAAAGAACGGACGAAGTAGAACAAGATATTTGTTTATCGGCATCAGAATTAATCTTACTGAAAATTTACTGTTTGGAGAAAACTTGACAGCGCCTTTCAAAACGTTATCCTAGGAAACACGACTACTATCATGGGCAAAAACCACAGAGATAATAAGTAGAGACATTACCACAGCTTGTTTCTATCTTTCAACGATAGTGGAGAATCGGACAAGCTACATCGTGGTGTATTCATTAGCTTGAGTGTAGCAGCATCCAGTTTTTTGGTTACTGGTAGATGATAGTGAGTTTGAAAGTCTCCCAGCATCGA